TTCATAGAGCCCGACCCGTTTGCAGCCCGACATTTTTCAATTGTGCGCATTAAGGGCTAATCTCCGTTTCACTTCTGTAACATCCATTTTGCATTCATTTGCATTCATCGCGTATAGATCGAACGTTATCACATGATCATTTATTTGCCGCGCATATAACGGTTTAAAGCCCGAGCCCGGCCCGGCCCAAATGAAATAATAAAAAGTACACCCTGAACCCGCCCGAACCCGGCAGGACCTCTCGGGTCCTGTCGGGTTCGGGCTAATATTCCCTGCTCTACCTCCCACCTTGGACATCTTATGCATAACATTTCCTATCTTCACCCAGGTGTAATATTCTGCCCTCTCACTGTGCAATAACACATGCCAACTACTGTGTAGACCAGGGGTAACCAATTAAAAAACAGCAAGGTCAATAAAGAACATCAACCAGTAAAGGTCCAGAGAATTTTTTAAAAAGAATTTAACACTGAAACAAAGAGTTTTTTTTAGCATCCATGTTATACATTGAATTTTTAAATAAAAAAAAAAAGTTTTACATTTTAAAATCTAAAGTGTTTCTTAATGTCAGGGTTGCCTGGTTACATGAATGACTCCTGGCCTGAAAAAAAATCTCCCAGCCCAGCCCTGGTCTTCCCTCAGCTCTCTACTGTGCAGATATTTTTAAATCCAAGGGAAACGTATTCCAGGACATTATAACTTTTTTCTTTTTTTATGCTTTTTTGTACTATATATTCTCTTTTTGTATTGTCTGTCATATTGTCATCTTTAATGGAATCTTGCTTTAACTCTTTGTACTCTATATAAGCTACTGAGACCAGAATTTCCCTGAAGGAGTGATCCTGAGGGATAAATAAAGTTGAGTCCAAGTCTAAGGCCCAGTACCATTTCTCTCAGAGTTCCAGTGATAACATGATTTTGTTAAAAGCCGTCATGCATAATTATACCACAGGGAAGCTTGTTAGAAGCCCGACAGCCAGCAGGATCCGACCGAGGGACCCAGCACCGCCCAGAACAGCTGAGAGACGGTGGCCAAAATCGGAGTACCTCACTCGGATCAACCATGAGCTAGATCCCGCTGACCACATGGAGCCCCGACATCCAACCTCCAACCATCCCCACCACAGTCATTATCATCCTACTTTATGTAAAAGTAATAAAAAATATCTTGGTAGATTTGTGTATTATGAAAAATAGCTATTTAGCAATATTCATGTTTCAACACAACAGTAAGGAATTCAGTTGGATTTACATCTAACCACGATATCCCAATATTTTCTTTTTTTTTGTTGTTTTTTTTTATTATGTGTGGTTAATTTTAGAAATATATGTACATTTTTGCAGTCATTTTCAGCAGCCGGACAGCATTTTTCCTTTAATTGAATGAGTTCTTGGAAGTCAGCTCCTGACCTCACTCAGTCTGAAG